GAAAAGAAAAAAATCCACACCCAAACACTCTCTCAAGTGTTTACACTCAAATGTGTTTTAGTTTCTTGTGTTTCACTCACTTTGGCTTTTTCCCTTTTGATGGTCTCACCATCTTGCCTTTACCACTTAGCTTCTCTTTATGAGCTCTTTAGTAAGAACTTTTGAGGATGATTCTGCACCATAAGAAATAGTAAAAGATGGCTGATATGATAACTTGAAAGAACAAGAACAAGGAAATTGGGGAAACAGAAATGACAAGGATCAATTTTCTTTCTTTTGATTTCTTTTCTTTTTTTAGGAACAAGACAATGAAAGTATTTAGAATAGAATAAAATAAGAATCAATTTTTTGTTTTTTTTTTCGAATATGCATAATGTAATTTCATGCAAAAATATTGAACAACACAAACTAGTTTTTTTTTCTTCTTTTTTTTTCAATTTTTTCTCAAGACATTCTTTTTTTCAATTTTTTTTTTTGTTGAATTGTACCAAGAGAGAAAAAGTACAGGAGATAACAAAGAAGATGATCAGGCAATGAACTAGAACATAGGAAAAAAATGAAAGCAACAATGGACTTTTTTTTTTAGATTAGAGAAGATAAATAGATAAAGGATAGATACACCTGAATTCAAGAGCCAAAGCTCTGATGCCAAATGATACGATTTTTAAAATGCAAGACCGTCTTGAAGATAAGTAAAGGAACAAAGAGGAATTTTACCCTAACCATGACTTGTCGATAGAACCAACACTATAAAGTTCATATCCAAGAACAAAGGAAAAAACTCTCACAATAAAAAAAAACTCAAAATATAATTAATATTCAAATATAATTTTGATGCTTACAAGATACTCCTATTTATAGACTAAGATAGACAATCTTTCACTTATATGTAATAATTTTCCATTAAGCTCCACTAGGAAATAATATCTCACTAATTTCCACTAACATTTATTGATGGAATAACACTAAGGTCGAGAAGACCAAGAGGTGATATATTAAAGGAGGCAAGAGGAATGGGTTAGTGAGGCCACTTTTGGACCTTAGCTCCTAAGTTCTTTTTAATCATAGAATTTATTTTACTTGTATTTCCAATTTTACCCTTGTATTTTGGGGTGTTTAGGACTTAGAATTTATTTTCCCTTGTATTTCCCTTTTTACCCTTGTATTATGGGGTGCTCTAGATGATTAGGGTTTTTAATTTTGGGCTAGGGTGTTAACTAGAAGGGTGAC